ATAAATATAAGACAACATTTAAATATAGACTATACAATTGTAGTGTCCAGTGTCTTCATTCTATAAAAATAAGACAACATTTAAATATAGACTATACAATTGTAGTGTCCGTTGTCTTCATTCTATAAAAATAAGACAACATTTAAATATAGACTATACAATTGTAGTGTCTGGTGTCTTCACTCTATAAAAATAAGACAACATTTAAATATAGACCACACAATTGTAGTGTCTGGTGTCTTCAATCTATAAAAATAAGACAACATTTAAATACAGACTATACAATTGTAGTGTCTGGTGTCTTCATTCTATAAAAATAAGACAACATTTAAATATAGACCACACAATTGTAGTGCCCAGTGTCTTCACTCTATAAAAATATGATAGTAATTAAATACTAACCATATACAGTTCAAGTATTCAATGTTTTACTTCATAAAAATAAGATAATACTGGAATACTGACCACACACTTTTAACGACTAGTGTCATAATTGTACAAAACATAACAGTATTTTACTACTGCCACATACTAGAAGTGACCAATGTGTTCATCCTATAAAAATTATGTAGTACTTTAATGCTGACCAAAGGCTCTTGAAGTAAAAATCATCCATAACATACAACAAATAAGACAGTATTCCTTAAACAGACCTTGCAATAATGTCCTCAATCTACATGAAAATCCTCACATGGAACTAACAACACAACACACAGAAAACATTAACTGTGTTCTCCACATATATGAACAAGGGAATAAACAAACAATAGATCAAATTAAAAAGTAAGAACAAAATAAAAATTGCAAATGGATTTAGAGATAATAAAAGTAACACAACTGTTGTTAAAGAAATAAAACAATATAATAAAAAACAGAATAATAGAAAACAATTGGAGTTGTGAAGTCTCACAAAACCTACGAGAATAACAGAAAACAACTGAAGTTGTGAAGTCTCACAGAACGTCCAGAATAACCGAAAACAACTGGAGAAAATAACTGGAGTTGTGAAGTCTCACAGAATGTAGAAGAAAACAGTAAACAACTGGAGTTGTGAAGTTTCACAAAACCTACGAGAATAACAGAAAAAAACTGGAGTTGTGAAGTCGCACAAAACCTACGAGAATAACAGAAAACAACTGAAGTTGTGAAGTCTCACAAAACCTAAGTGAATAACAGAAAACAACTGAAGTTGTGAAGTCTCACAAACCTACGTGAATAACAGAAAACAACTGAAGTTGTGAAGTCTCACAAAACCTACGTGAATAACAGAAAACAACTGAAGTTGTGAAGTCTCACAAAACCTACGTGAATAACAGAAAACAACTGAAGTTGTGAAGTCTCACAGAATGTACAAGAATAAAATAACTGGAGTTGTGAAGTCTCACAGACCATACAAGAATAACAGAAAACAACTGAAGTTGTGAAGTCTCACAGAATGTACAAGAATAACAGAAAAAACTGAAGTTGTGAAGTCTTACAGAACATACAAGAATAACATAAAACAACTGGAGTTGTGAGGTTTCACAGGATGTACAAGAATAACAGAAAATAACTGGAGTTGTGAAGTCTCACAGAACTTACAAGAATAACAAAAAATAAGTGGAGTTGTGAAGTCTCACAGAACGTACAAGAAAAACAGAAAACAACTGGAGTTGTGATGTCTCGCAGAATGACAAGAATAACAGAAAACAACTGGAGTTGTGAAGTCTCACAAAACCTACGAGAATAACAGAAAACAACTGAAGTTGTGAAGTCTCACAGAATGTTCAAGAATAACAGAAAAAACTGAAGTTGTGAAGTCTCACAGAACAGACAAGAATAACATAAAACAACTGGAGTTGTGATGTCTCGCAGAATGACAAGAATAACAGAAAACAACTGGAGTTGTGAAGTCTCACAAAACCTACGAGAATAACAGAAAACAACTGAAGTTGTGAAGTCTCACAGAATGTACAAGAATAACAGAAAAAACTGAAGTTGTGAAGTCTCACAGAACAGACAAGAATAACATAAAACAACTGGAGTTGTGAAGTTTCACAGAATGACAAGAATAACAGAAAACAACTGGAGTTGTGAAGTCTCACAAAACCTATGAGAATAACAGAAAAAAACTGGAGTTGTGAAGTCTCACAGAACGTCTAGAATAACAGAAAACAACTGGTGTTGTGAATTTTCACAGGACATACTAAAATAACAGAAATAACTGGAGTTGTGAAGTCTCACAGAAATAAGAAACAGAAACAACTGGAGTTGTGATGTCTCACAGAACATACAAGAATAACAGAAAATAAGTGGAGTTGTGAAGTCTCACAGAACATACAAGAATAACAGAAAATAACTGGAGTTGTGAAGTCTCACAAAATTTACAGAAAAAACTGGAGTTGTGAAGTCTCACAGAACGTACAAGAATAACAGAAAATAACTGGAGTTGTGAAGTCTCACAGAATGTACAAGAAAACAACTGGAGTTGTGAAGTTTCACAAAACCTACGAGAATACCAGAAAAAACTGGAGTTGTGAAGTCGCACAAAACCTACGAGAATAACAGAAAAAAACTGAGGTTGTGAAGTCTCACAGAATGTACAAGAATAACAGAAAACAACTGAAGTTGTGAAGTCTCACAAAACCTACGAGAATAACAGAAAACAGCTGAAGTTGTGAAGTCGCACAAGACCTACGAGAACAACAGAAAAACTGAAGTTGTGAAGTTTCACAGGATGTACAAGAAAAACAGAAAACAACTGGAGTTGTGAAGTCTCAAAGAACATACAAGAATAACAAAAAATAAGTGGAGTTGTGAAGTCTCACAGAACGTACAAGAAAAACAGAAAACAACTGAAGTTGTGAAGTCCCACAGAACATACAAGAATAACATAAAATAACTGGAGTTGTGAAGTCTCACAAAATGTATAGAAAAAACTGGAGTTGTGAAGTCTCTAGAATGTACAAGAGTAACAGAAAAAAACTGGAGTTGAGAAGTCTCCAGAATGTACAAGAGTAACAGAAAATAACTGGAGTTATGAAGTCACACAAAATTTACAGAAAACAATTGGAGTTGTGAAGTCTCAGAATGAGACGATAAGTTACAGAATATTACAGTTTGATTGAGAAGATGATTAGTTATAGAATGAGAACAAAATATTAGGAATTATTGAAGATCACAGAATGAGATGTAAGAGACGTTAAGATATCACATAATAAGATAAACAGAAAACCTGACACCAGAGAAATATTTATGTACTGTATTAGAATGCAGTAACTTACTACAGACTTGTATATGACAAGCGATCCATTGGTCATCTGCTGTATACGATGATTAAATTCTACATGCTGGCCATTTTTCGTCCAGATAATTTGTGGGAAGGGATCACCGTCAACGGCACAGTTTAACATGATGGGGTCAGCCAACCTGACGGCCTGAGGACCGGGAGATGCCAAAAACCACAGGGGCCACTGTAGGTGGACATTAAAAAGTTTCTTCTTTAAAAAAAACAACCATTTTAATGTTTTCTATCAAAGTATATTCATACATTCATCTTTTACGAAAAAGTTATTTTGGTACCAAAGTTATATTAAATAA